ATTGTTACAGCTTTCTCATACAAGCTGTGGTGGCGCTTCAGGGAAGGAAAGTCGCTTTGGGCTCAGTACCTTCGCGGCAAGTACTGCCCTAGACGTGCCAACCACCCTTGTTGGGTCACGGCTATTGATCATGATAGCAGACAGTGGCGGCACCTCACTAGGTCGGTAGGCGCGCCCAGGATCACATCCTTTGGGTTTTGGGCGAGGGCGATGTCAGTTTCTGGGATGAGTGGTGGGTAGGTGATAGGCCGTTGTCTAGGGATAGGAAGGTGTCGCATTCCCCCTACCTGCTTGTGAGCGACCTCTGGACGGACGGGTCGTGGGATAGGGGGAAGCTTGATAGGGAGTTGGGGTCTGGTGCGGGTTTTAGCGAGCAGTTATTAGATCAGATCCAGCAGATCCCTATCTCGGGGGACGGTTCAGATAGCATGAGGTGGAGACTTACATCATCGGGTGTGTTTTCTACTACCTCGGCTTGGGAGCAGATCAGGCTGAGGGATCGGCCTAATCTCCTCTTCGGGGCTATCTGGAGTGACCTTTTCACGCCTACTATTTCGGTGTTCCTTTGGCGCCTCCTCTTGCGCCGGATACCCGTCGATACTGTGCTACACGCGAGAGGGATCTCCTTCCCCTCTCGGTGTGTGTGTTGTTCTGAGACTGGACGCCATGAGACTGAGACCTTTACCCACCTTTTTCTAGAGAGTGAGATTGTGAGGAGAGTGTGGGAGCATTTTGCCACTTGGACTCATATATCCCTACCCACCACATACAGTTTTTTTGAGCTCCTGAGTTTTTTCTCACAGAGCACACACCTTAGACACGTGGGCTTCCTCATTCCTTGTCTGATCCTTTGGTTCACCTGGACAGAAAGGAATAGTGCGAAGCATAGGGATATTTCTTTTATGTTTTCTCACATTGTTTTGCAGGTTGAGAGACACATTTCACTCCTCATCGCTTTGGGCAGGCTCACGGCCCGAGACTGGACAGGCTGCACGCCACCACATCGCTACATGATGGCCCCACCACCGCCTGTTCGGCCTCCTCGGGCCAGAGCTGTTCTTTGGCTTCGACCTGACTCTCCGTGGGTCAAGCTGAACACTGATGGCTCATTTGATCACCACACTGGAGTTGCCGGAGGAGGAGGCTTGATTCGAGATTGTAGCAGCGCCCTCATCACCGCATTCCATGCATCCATTCGCGCCTCCTCGAGCTACGACGCAGAGATTCAGGCACTACAGATTGGCCTTCAGATCGCTGTCCATCTCTCTAGTCATATATGGATCGAGCTGGATGCTGCGGCTGTCGCCACCCTCCTGACTTCGGGCCATCAGGGTTCGTGGCAGATTCAGCACCCGCTTATGCGCATTAGAGATCTACTTCGGTCAGTCCATCATAGGATCACGCACATTTTCCGTGAGGGGAACAGACCTGCTGATTACCTGACCAGCCTTGGCGCCACCATACCAGACACACATACATTTCAGACCGATGCTGCTCCACTCCGCCTTCGCACTCTTGTACGGATGGATCAGCTTGGATATCCAGCGTTCCGCTTTCACTAGTTTAGGATTTCTGTTGTCATTAGTATAGACTTTTTTGGGCATCTGTTAGCCCGAAGATCGACTTTGTTTTGTAGTTTTGTTTTCTTTTCGTTTTTTGGCTTTTCTTTTTTGTTTTTCTTTTGTTTTTGTTTTGATCGTGAGACTATATAGACCTTTGTATCTTGTTCGTTGATATTTTGGGCTTCCGATTTTGGGGCCCTGATCTATACACAGGTTGGGGATCCAGCCCAATCCCCCGCCCTTCCCGGGCGTTGTTTGTTTAAAAAAAAAACTAGCAACTACAAGTAAATAACCTAGCAACTACATATGCATCTTACAAGAGCTATTTATCCACCATAAATCAAATAAACACCAACCTGAACAGAATCATCATACATCTTCTGTTTTGGTTTTAATGAGTCTAAGGGCAAGATTTCCATACGACTATCAACAAAACCTCGGCCAAAACCACCATTTTTTATGTCAGCATTGATTCTCTTGCGCAAGAGCTCGCAGTTCCAACCAACAAAAGTGATACTCCTTGTAACTTCACGATTTATAAAAACCAGCCGATCAACGTATAAAACCTGCATTTTGAAAACATATATATATATATATATATATATATATATATATAACTGGAATATAAATAAATTGATTAAGAATAATATAGAAATAAATTCTTACAATCAGAAAAAAAGAGGCCCATTAAAAGCAGTCCTGTTGCTCTTTTCCCATTTCAGTCTTTTTGTAATCAGACTTTGAAGAGTGTATTGAGCCCAATCCAGCTCAGAAACAGATGTTATGTCAGTATTGGACTTCAAGAAAAGAGGGTTGACATAACCAGCAGAAATTGATCCAATGATCAAAGCATCAACCAAAGCAGCAAAATGACAACAAAACATTTCACCACCATCATCACACCGCAACATTTTCTTGCTGACATAGTCGGCAGTGATTTTATCAAAAGATTTTTGAAACTTACTCCTCCAATTATTCAACAGCTCACGGTCTTCAGACTTATTCTTTAATTGAATAGGCTTCTCCCCTCTCGGCAAGCCTAATACCTTCTCAACGTCAACAGCATCAATGTGGATGTTGCCCTCACTAAAACGCAATACAGAGCTAAATGGGTCAAAATTATCCAACACCCAATAAGATAAATGGGTTGGAATCTCTTTGACTTTGAGATGCAACAAATATCCAAACCCCATTTTTTTTACTGCTCTTTTCTGGTAATCATTGAATTGAGCAATAACATCAACCAGAAGTTTTGGAGAACTACGTGTTGACAGCTTGGGTAAACGAACATTAGGCTGTCGTTCACGAGCTTGACGTACAGGAGGGCGATGAGATGAATCAGTCAGTAAAAGAATATCCGGACGCTCATTTGGCATAAGCATTTCTTCAAATTAAACTGAGTTACAAAAAAAAAAAAATGTCAACTATATAGAACAAACCTTGCATCAGCAGAGAAGTAGCTTTGCAACTAAGATTGCAAATAGATATAACTAACCTAGCAACAAAAGACAACGAAGCTAGCAGCATCAGACCTCAGATAGCTGTCCACCTCTCTAGTCATATATGGATCGAGCTGGATGCTGCGGCTGTCGCCACCCTTCTGACTTCGGGCCATCAGGGCTCGTGGCAGATTCAGCACCCGCTTATGTGCATTAGAGCTCTACTTCGGTCTGTCCATCACAGGATCACGCACATTTTCCGTGAGTGGAACAGACCTGCTGACTATGTTGTCAGCCCTGGCGCCACCATACCCGATACACATACGTTCCAGACCGACACTGCTCCACTTCGCCTGCGCACGCTTGTACGGATGGACCAGCTTGGATATCCATCTTTCTGCTTTCAGTAGATTAGGTTTATTGTTTTCATTTGATTAGATTTTCATTTTTATTTTCGGGCACCTGTTAGCCCGTAGATAGACTTTGTATTTTCTTTTTATTTGTTTTGCTTGTGAGACCTTGTAGACTGTTTATATTTTGGGCCCCCGTTTTGGGGTCTTGATCTATGCACCGGTTGGGGATCCAGCCCAATCCCCCGCCCTCTCGAAGCGTTGTTTGTTTAAAAAAAATAAAAATAAAAATAAAAAATAAAAAAGCTAGCAGCATCAGACAACTAACCTAGCAACAAAAGACAACTAACCTAGCAGCTTCAGCCAACTAACCTAGCAACAACAGACAACTAACCTAGCAACATCAGACAACTAACCTAGCAGCATCAGACAACTAACCGAGCAACAAAAGACAACTAACCTAGCAGCAAAAGACAACTAACCTAACAACAACAGACAACTAACTTAGCCGCAAAAAGACAACTATCTTAGCGAACAACAAACAACTAACCTAGCAGCAAAACATAACTAACCTAGCAGCATCAAAAACTAACCTAGCAACATAGACACCTAACCTTGCAACTAAACATCAATAACCTTGCAACTCAGACACACAACCAACAGAACCCTAAAAATACGGATGATATATACTTTATACATGGATTTACTTAAAAAAAACTAATAAAGATCATAAAAGATAACCAAAACCTATTACTCTAATCTATTAAATGAAAGAATGAAAACCCTAAAATCGAAAAAGTGATTACAAACAAAAACAACAGCAAAAAAAATCACCAATTAAGACGAGAATCTGCGAGAATAGACTCCGAACGATAAAACGAAAACAGGAATTGAGACGAAAAGCAAAATCAAAATTGAAAAATGAAAAAGAATGGAACAGAAACAAGGAGCAAATGCGAAAATCGAAGCGGGAGATGGAAAGTAAAGTATAAAGTAGAGCTAAAAGATGAACCGCCCGCGAAATATTAATTAATGTTATAAATTAATTCTGAACGTTAGATTAGATGAGGAGTGAACGGACGAGATCAGGTCTCACGTCCTCACTTTTAAAAAGCGGGAGCAGCTGAACCATTCAATATATATATATATATATATATATATATATATATATATATAGGATTTGGTTCAAATGAGAACTAAGTCTTAGCGTGAGAACTATTTTTAATTGTATGTAGTGTTATGATTGATTGTATTTTAGTGCTATTTTTAATCAGGATGTATTTTATTAAAATAGCAACATAATTTATGTTAGCATTTGTAAGAATGTTAGCACCATGTGAGATTAAAAATAGCATCGTACACAATTAAAAATAGCATCAAATATGGTTTTCACGGTTCTCACACCAGGACTAGTTTTTATTTGAACCAACCCCTATATATATATATATATATATATATATATATATATATATATATATATCATTCAACCTTATAACTTAACAGGAATAATACGAAAGGGGGTTTTCTGGATCTATTACCTCCTTCGGGAATGCACGAGCTAGGCGAAGGAGAGAAACGAGAAGAGTTCGGCCAATACGGCTTATTGGCAAACTCGGACACATGAACGATTGCTCGAAAAGAATCTGCTGCTAGCCGGCCCTTCTCGGCAGGTGACAACATACTGGAAAGACCCACAGACGGCTGAAAGGCCTGCTACCCGACCCGGAATAGGCGCTGAATGGGCGGAAATTACTATTCGAAGATCCCCGGCTGTGGAGTCCCTTATCTTGCGGCGTGAGGTGGACGAGAGAGGCCTCTGCTGCCACTCGTTTGGATGACATAAAGGAAATACGGGAACGGCTAAACCGCTCAATAAAGAACTCCCGGCGGGGGGGAGGGGGGCTATTATGAAACAAACGGGCCGACGAGGGCAGCCGCTGTTGTTCGGGCCGTTGAACGAGGGCCGACGGGGGTTCTCTCTTGGCATCTGGGCCGCACAGATGTCCGACGGTGAAGGAACAACTACGTGTATGGGAGGGATGACAACGATTTATTTCTGATTTTCAGAGGTGATGAATCAGAGTGTTCTTCAAGGTTTCTTTCGTGAGATTGGAGCGATGAGGGAGGCGGCGATTGCAAGAAAGAGAGGGAGGCAGGGTCGCGGGGTAAAAAGAGAGAGATGAGAGGGAAAAGAAAAAACACACGTTTAATAGACTTAGGTCTTAAAAATCTTGCCAAACAAGAAAAATAAAAGGAGCGGGTCGGGTCGCCGGATTCGGGGCGCACACGGGTTTTGCCGGGTCGAGGCTCGATTTATTAAATCCGATAATATGTACGACGATCGGACAAATAAATACAATATCCGGAAAATTAAATAATTAATCCGGTAATATATATATATATATATATATATATTAATGGTTAGGTTCAAGTGAGATTGGTGCTCAATGAAAGAAATAAGAATATAACACAGCTGTCCGATCGACTACTGTAACGGGTAAAAAAACCCAGACATTTATANCTCCGCCACCTCCTTCCTCAGCTGCCACCGCTTTAGAGAATGCAGCCTGTGCAAGCATTGACAGAAGACCACCAGAATCGTCCTCCGCCGCCCGTCAATCCGCCACACAGAAATCGAAGACCTGCGAGCCCGACGATCGAAGATGGGTGCATCGTCTTCCTCGCCGCTCACTCTCTATCTCACTTTCGTGAATCGAATCGCCGTCATCGTTTTCACCGGTCAAATCGCCTCAAAATGCTAGCAATCGGCCGCCCGCGACTGGCCTGCGTCATATCCACCGCCGTCAAAATCGAAATAAAGTCGGACTCTCCGACTTACTCCTCTCGCAGAAGACGGCTGGACCCCGCGGAAACCCCCGTAGAGCGCAGCGGTCGGCGATTGATTTTCGAAATTTCACCGGAATTGCACTGCGTGACTTCAAATTTTTGAGAATTGGATATTTTCTAGGGGCTTGATTGCAAATTTGTAACTTTTGATTAATTGGGAAGAAATTAAAAGGGATTTTGTGAATAAGCCTCACATGATATGCTCGAAAATCCCTTTCACAAGGATTTGGTTAATTTTGATTGATTTTCGCATGATTTTTTTTATTCATGTATATTAAAATAATAAATAAAAAATATGAAATAAAAATTGTTAAACAAATATTGTACATTAGATTGTATAATATAGTATTGGTTATAACACACATTGCGTAATGCACAATATTGGCAAACAAAATGCACATTAATTATAGACGGATTGCACATTACTAACTGACAAATTGCACTATAGTGACCGAAACCGACAAACTCTCGGTCACCGACAAACTGAGATTTTGGGTCCGTTTATGTAATAGTTTGATTATTTAGTTTTCCTTTTAAAAATTTGGTTAATTCGATTTGATATCTCATTTATTTTTAAAAATAACCGAAACAATCCAACTGTATAAAAATATTATTTTTTTTATTTGTATATTTTAGGTATTTACAACAAAAAGTAAAAAAAAAATATTAACTAAAAAATTAAACTACTAAAATATAATTTTTTTATAATATAATTTATAATTTATTTTAATTATTCATGTTAATTCAGTTATCCGGTCAAAATAAACTAACATTTTTGTTCAGCTTTATTTTGGTTTGGGACAAGATCATAAAAAATGAATGCACTGCGATTGCACAATTATGTTAAGCGAAATGCACACTAATGACTATCATAATGCACCATGGCGATCTAAGTCGGCGGGACTAAGCTTTTGGGCCCTGTTTTATATTACAATATTAACCAAAACATTAAAATACTAAATATATTATTTTAATATAATTTATAATTTTTTTTGATTATTTATGTTAATTAGGTTAACCGATCTAATAAACTAACAGTTTTGTTCAGCTTTGTTTTGGTCTGGGACAAGATAAAAAAAATGTACATACACTGCGATTGCACAATTGTGTTAGGCGAACTGCACATTAATAACTAGCAGGTTACACAATATGTAATATCGATGTGAAAATTATTATTATTATTATTATTTATTTATTTTTATTTTTTGATGTATCGTGTATATACATTATGGTTATATAAATTACACACTAATGACTACCAGATTGTAAAAATAATAAACGATAGCGACAGAACTAAATTTTTCACTACCGAAAAATTATATTCCGGTTTGATTATTATTATTTTATTCTATTACTTTAAAGAAAACTGAATTGTGCATTGTGCACTGTGTACTGTGTGCATTATTTAATTTTCACATTTTTGAAGCTCGAGTGTTCATTGTGCATTGTGTACTGTGTGGATCATTGTGTGCATTATTTATTTTTCACACATTAATTGAAGTTTTCTCTACAGATAAAGCCTCTGCACTTGTGCACCTGCGTATGGATTAACCCAATAGTTATGTTTCACTTAATTATACATTTGACACAGGATCTAATTGTAATATATTATAATTTATGAAATTGCCACTAAGACCTTAAGAGATATCAAATTTTCAAACATCAATCCACAAGTCTATGAGAAATATCATTATTTCTAATTTAAATATGTAAACCTAAATGAAAAAAAAGCCCACAAATTGCATCTGATAAATCGACTGATGCAATGTCTTCACCAATTGATGAGGGCGACGGAAGAGAAGAAGAAACGGACGGCTGTAGAGAGGGCGTGCGACGGCGGAGGGTGGTGCTATGGGCGGGTTCAGTGACGACGGAGGAAGAAATTGCGACGGAGGCGGTGCATTGGGCGGAGGGATTGCCGGGGTAGGTGGCGGATTGGGTGGAGCTGTTGGTTGTGATAGTTTGTGATTCCGGCGGGTTCGTTTGACGGTGGCGGTGGACTTCTAAGATTTCGGGCGGTGGCGGCGAGAGGCGTGCTGGTGTTCCGGATGCGGATGGTGGTCCGACGGCGGCGGCGGGTGGTTCCGGTGGCTGCGTCGGGTGGTTG